CCTCATGGAGAAGAAAGATGAGCCTTGTTTGTGTGACCCAAAGGGCAGTACTAGGGCCTCAAGGTAGCAGGAGCTGGCAGGCAGAATTCAATTCAATCTCAAAGGATTTTTTGTGTGGTAGTTAATTTAAAACCATCAGAGCTCCCTAGTAATAGAATGAGCTCCCCACTCCCAAAGGTGTTTAAGCACAGGCTGGAAGACCAGCTATTGGGGATATTATGTATGAAGAGCATGCACCAGAGAAGCAAATGGACCATAATTCAGAGACTCTTCAGCCTGGCTGTACATCATAATTACCTGGGGAATTTCAAAGATACAGATTCTGGGGCCACAGTCCAACTTAATAAGAAATCTCTAAAAATAGGGACGAAGGATCTGCATTTTTAGTAACATATCTTTTCAATAAGCTTCCCTCCTGCTGGTGCCAACCTACTGCTGGTCACATGGACCAGAGTTTGGGACCCTGAGCCAAATCATTTGTGAGAGTCTGAGGCTCTCTGACCTTGACTCTTACTATCTTCTAACCTCTGTCTATCTGCTCACAGCTTCTGGGAACCCAGGACTCAAGGGTACCAGGTCACTCCTCATCCTATCCTGATAGAACTGACAACAGTTCTGTCTTCTCCCTTACCAGCCCCCTTTCAGGGTCCTCTCATTTCTAGCCATACCTTTGCCAGTCCCTGCCTGTGGAGTTCTGTAATACTAATGCTAACAATACTAGTATTAACCTCTAACGCTTGTCATGAGCACTGATAGCTAACATTTCTCGAACACCTCCAAAGTGCCTGGCACTCTACTTACTGATTTTAGTGCACAAGGAAGCGGAATAAGGTGGTCGTTAGGAGTGTTTGCCATGGAATCAGATGGTGTAGCTTCATATCCCTGCTCTCCCAATTGTGAACTGGGTGATCTTGGGCAAATTGCATAACTTCTCTGTGCCTCAATTTCCTCGTCTGTGAAATGGTGGTGATTATAGTATCCACTACAATGAGTTGTGAGGATCGAGTGAGCAATGCCCATGTGGTAAGCTCTCAGTACTTTTTACCTGTTTTTATTATTATCATTGCCATTGTTTTCTGACTGAATCCTCTCAAAAGCCCCGTGAGGTAGGTACCCTTATTATCCTGATTTCACTAATTATGTAACTGGAATACAGAGAGGATGGGTCACACAGGGTCTCCTTCCTGCTCACAAGCAGCCACTTCACCTCCAGGTAGGGAGATGCTGCAGGTCAAGGAATCATATACTCAGATGTTCACAGGGCCCAGCTAGCAAAGCCAATGATGAGGTGACCCCTTATACATGCCCTCAGTAGGGAGAGGTGGGCACTATGGCAAATGACAGAGCCATGCCCTGGCCAAAGGAAGCAGCTGCTCCTTCACTCCAGCTCCTGGTGGACTTAAAGGCATGCTGGCCCAGGGGCCAGTTCTTTGGATTCTTTCAGAACAGTTGGAAATCTCTACTATTATGCCAAATTTTCCCGGTTATTAAATACCAGAAATTAATTTTTTAAATTTAAATATTGGGTGAAGCAAATAGAACACTTCTATGGGCTTAATCTGTCCTGTGAGCTACCTGCTCTGCCATAGCTACTAGGGGACAATATGAGACCCCAGGCCCCTGCATTGAAGGAGGATCTCCAAAGCCAGAAAGATTTGAGATGCTGCCTCTGGAGGCTGATCTCCAACTGAAATACTTCTTACAGTAGAGGTCAGAGTTCTCACCCCTTCTCCCTGACCTCCCACATCCTCTCTGCAAAACCCTGGCCCCACCTCTGCTCTCTGTGATTTTTTTTGTTTTCCCATCTGTAGCCACAACTGTCCACCTCTGTGTACTTGAGGAGGCTGAGCAGCACCAGAAGGATATAACCAGAATTCTCCAGCAACATGAAGAGGAAAAGAAGCAATGGGAACAACAGGTAAGTCCAGGTGACCTCAGCCCTTCTCTTTTCTTCCTGGTCAGCTAACCTTGATAAATCCCAGAGTGAGGACCTTGAGAGGTCTTTCTAGCAAAGTGACTGGCTTTGCTCCAGACGATAGCTGTTCTGTCCTCCTGGATCCCATGACTGATTGCAACAAGCAGAGCCACCTGCCAACACAAGGTGGTCATATGGTGAGTGAGAAAGAAACCTTTAGTTTTAAGCCACTGAGACTTTATGGTTGATTGTTGTTACAGCATAACTTCGTCTGTTCTGACTGAGACAGGAAGTCAGATGTTAAACACAATTCCACAGAATTAACTACGATTACAAGTGCTCCAGAAAGTTTAGAATGCAATGAAAGTACGTGATGGAAGCTCTTAACCAAGTCTGTGGGATCAGAGGAGACATCTCTGAGGAAATAACACTCAAGACAAGACTTTAAAAATTAGTTGGTAATGAAAATTGAGGACTAGTTTGCAAAATTACCAACATGTAGTCATCAAATGTCAAAAAGGAGCCCTGGTGGCACAGAGGTTAAGCGCTCAGCTGCCAACCAAAAGGTTAGTAGTTCAAACCCACCCGCTGCTCTGCAGGAGATAGATGTGGCAGTCTGCTTCTGTAAAGATCACAGCCTTGGAAACCCTATGAAGCAGTTCTACTCTGTCCTATAGGGTTGCTATGAGTCAGAATTGACTGGACAGCAATGGGGTATTTTTTGTTTTGTTTTGTTTTGGTTTGGTTTGATTTTAAGACCGCTTGGAAGTCTCATCATTAAGGACTCCCCAGATAAACATCAGGACCAAATGATATCAAGACAGTTACCCCACAAAAAAAGACTAAAGACCCACAGACATAATTAATCTACCTGTCATAAGAGGTACGTTTCTGAAAAGTGTGTCTAAGCAGAGAATGTTTTAAATGTGTTTGGGGTGCTCACTGCAGCCCACTACCTAATGAAGGCCTTGAGGACAGGCTCTGGATTTGATTCGAAGCCTGTCCTCCGGCCTTCATTAGATGGTAGGCTGCAGTGAGCACCCCAAGCGCCAGCTTAGGGATCATCAAACTGAGTCCCTGAGTACAGAGGGAGAAACTGATACCTGAGGAGGTGTCAGTCAGGGTTCTCTAGAAAAATAGAATCAGTGATTTTATATATATGTATACGTAGAGAGAGAGATTTACTGCAAGGAATTGGCTCATGCGATTGTGGAGGCTGGAAAGTCCAAAATCTGCAGGTCAGGCAATGGGCTGGAGAGTCCTGTAGGCTTGCGTCCCAAGCTCCATAGGTCAGGAGGCAGGAAGGGTGAAGTGAGAATTCTATCAAAATATCTATCTATAGTCTGGAGGCAGAACACAGCGTAGAGAAACTCACTTTTTGCTCTTAAGGCCTTCAGCTGATTGATTGATTACATTAGATTAGATTATGGAAGGTAATTGTATTATATCACATTACAGTACATTATATTATGGAAGGTAATCTGCTTTACTTAAAGCCAACTGATTTAATCGTACGTAACTACTCCAAAACAGCAACTAGAGTAGTGTTTGGCCAAACCCCTGGCAACAATAGCCTCGCCAAATAAACACATTAATTACGCATCACTACAGGGAAAGGGGCTGGTCCAAGGGTACACAGCTACTCAGTGGCAGGCTGGGGCTAGAACCGTCTTTAAATGTACCTTGCCTCTGGGTGTGCCCATCAGCTGTACCCTCACAGGCAGCAAAGGGACTAGAAAACATCTCAAGTGGGGGACCGTGAAAATGGCTGGGCATATTCATCCTGGAGAAGCATAATTTTGAGGACACAGCTACTCTGAGGGCTACCTGGGCTGAGGGAGAGGCTGGTTCTATGTGGCCCCAGAGGACAGAACCAGGACCTGATGGCAGAGGTTAAAGAGTCTACTTGTAACAGTAAGCCCTATGCATGTTAAAATAGGCAGACTTGAGAGTTAAGGAGCTTTCGTTCATTATATGCAAGCAGAGAAAACACAATGGCATTAGGACTAGACGAGTAAGCACTAGGACTAGAGGACGACCTCTGGGACCCTTTCCACCTGATGACTCTCTGAGAACCTCTTCTAAACCCTGAAGATGGCAAAGCCCACCACGCTGCTGCATGACTTGGAAGTCTTGTACCTGTGTCATTTCCCATCACTCAGATGAGGAGGTGGGACTCTGACCACCAAGCTCTGCATAGCTCTGGGGTTTAGTGAGTGGATAAGTGACATTGCCCTGAACCTACCCCCAGGTGGAGAAGGAAAGGGAGCTGGAGCTTCAAGAGAAATTGGCTGAGCAGCGACTAGTCCTGAAGGGAGAGCATGAGGAGGCCCTGCGAGGTAAGGATGGAGCTGCTCTACTGGGGAGGCTGTTGGGGGTGAGGAGGTGTTGGGGGGGGGGTGTCTTCCTTCTGGTCCCACCTTCAGAGTCCACTCAGGGACTCTTGCTGGTCCCTCCTTCCTGCTCTGATACTCAAGCAGTTGGCTGTGTCAGAGTTGGAGTCTACAGGGTCTTTGACCTTGGAAGGGTGATGGGCTTTTCCTTTGGCGCATGGCTCTACAAGTCTGGCACCTGCTTTGTTTTGCCATATTTGAAAGGTTTTTTCTCTCTGCATTGTGAAAGCAATGCATATGTTTTAAAGGAAATTTGGGAAACCTAGACAAATAGAATTTTTCAATATCCATATTCCCTCCCCACGATGATGACAGTTCTTAAAATTTATGATTAGGTGAATTGTTTTTAAAATAAAACTTTCTTCTTACATCACCAAATGTTATCATCCTAAGAAATTTAAAATCGATGAATTTAAAAAAATATATGTATAGCATAGTTGTTAAGATCTCAGACTCTGGAGCCATGGTCTCTGGGTTTGAATCTGAGCTCTACCACTTACTAACTGTGTGTGTTACCTTGAAAACGTTACTTAACCTTCCTCAAAGAGAATTAAATGATTTAATGTGTGTGTGTGTGTCTAAACGGTACCTGACATGTAGCAAGTAATTATTAGCACTTCTGATTTTATTACTGAGAAAATTAAAATCATGTGTAATTCCACCCAGAGATAGCCACTGTTGCCCCTTTGATATTGTTATTTTTGTTATTGTTAGTTGCCATTGAGTTGGCTCCTATTCATGACTACTTTATGTATCACAAAACAGAACATTGCCTGGTCCTGCACCATCTTCATGGTATGTTTGAGTCCATTGTTGAGGCTATTGTGTCAATCCATCTCATTGAGGATTTCCCTCATTTTCATAGAGCTTTTTAATTTCTTTTTCTTTATATATCCATAGACTATGCATCTATACATAACATACTTTGGAAGGGAGGTAAATTGATTTTTTTCACTTTGAATTGCGTTAACATCTTGTCATTAAACTCGTCTATTAATTAAAGTTTTAATAACTACATAGCAGTCTAATATTATCATAATATGTATCCTGAGCCCCTTTGGTTAGATGTTTAGGTAATTTTAAACCTTTTGACATTGTTTATAACAACAATGATATTTCTACAGTGAACCCCCTTTTGTTAAATCTTCACCCTGTTCGTGACTTATCTTTAGAATAACATCCTAGTCAGTATGCTGAATAGGTATGGGAGGGCATATGGGAGTACACCCACGTGCATGCATAGGTTGGCTGTGGATATTTCTACATACATATTTGTATGTGCTGCATGTATATTCATTTATATAGTAGAGCAAACGGAGGCACAGTCATCGAAACAACTTAGACATAACCAAACACCTCACAGGACTGAGTTACTGGGCTTGAAGGCTAAGGACCATAGTCCCGGGGGGACATCTAGGTCAATTGGCATAACATAGTTCATAAAGAAAACATTCTACATCCTACTTTGATGAGAAGTGTCTGGGGTCTTAAAACCTCGCGAGCAGCCATGTAAGATACAACTATTCGTCTTTTTCCATATGGAGCAAAGGAGAGTGAAGAAAACTGAAGACTCAAGGAAACAATTAGTCCAAAGGACTAATGGACCACAGGAACAACAGCCTCCACCAGCCTGAGACCAGAAGCACTAGATGGTGCCCGGCTACCTCTGCTGACAGCTCTGACCAGGATCATAATAGAAGGTCCTAGTTAGAGTGGGAAAAAAAAAAATGTAGAACAAAATTCAAATTCATAAAAAAGACCAGACGTACTGGTCTGATAGAGACTGGAGGAACCCCCAAGGCTATAGCCTTTAGATACCCTTCTAATTTGGAACTGAGGCCATTCCTGGAGATCACCTTTCAGCCAAATAATAGACAGACCTATAAATAAACAACACCCGTGAGGAAAGTTCTCCTTAGAACAATCATCTACATGAGACCAAAAGGAAAACATACACCCAAAAGCAAAGATGAGAAGGCAGGAAGGGACAGGAAAACCAGATCAATGGAAATGGGGGACTCAGGGTGGCAATGGGAAGAGTGTTGACACAGGGTAGGGAAAGCAACCTATGTCATAGAACAATTTGTATATAAACTATTGAATGGAAAACTAATTTGCTCATAAACCTTCACCTAAAGCACAACAATAAGAAAATAGAGTAACATCCTAGTTGAACTGGTGTGGCAAAGGTTATGTACATTTTCAAGGCTATTGGAGTTTCTCCAGAATGCTATGCCAGCTTTTCTTTTAATCTCAGTGTTTGTATGACCTTTCCCCAGAGTTATGTATCTTTAAAGAACACAATTATGATTATTTTATATATAAAATGTTGTATCCTGTTCTTTTCCATTAACATTGTATCTAACATGTTTCCAAGTAATTATGCTGCACTAAAATGGTAATACTCCATAGCATATATGGTTTTTCTTATTTCCCGTGACTCTAGGCATCTAGATTTTAGCTATTGTAAATAACACTGTACAAACACCTTTTGGGTAAAGATGTGCCCACATTTCATATTATGTCCTTAGATTCCCAGAAATTGAATCATTAGAACAAAGGTCTGAACAACTTGAAGGCTCTTGAAACATATTGCAACATTAGCACAGTCCGTTTTGAAATGGAATTAAAGCCCTTGCCTGGGAATTTGGCAATCTGGGTTTTAATCCTAATACACCCTGTTAAACTGGGCTACTCACTTAATGTCCTTGAGCCTCAGTTTCGTTTCTATATCTATAAAATCCACCTCCCCTGTCTCACAGGGAAAGCAGCTTCATTCTCCAGCCTTGCTTTGGTATTATTTTTAGCACTATAAATAAAGTATAACGATAAGAAAAATTTTCTACTATAAAAACCCCAGAGGGAAAGGGATTGCCCTGTCTAGAGTTCTTCCGTAACAGTCAGAATTCTTTCCATTATTTTTAAATTGCTTGCACATATTAAGTGCTAAGTAAGTGTTTATTAAATGAGTTAATGAAAGTGTAGCATGGGAAGGAATAGATGGGGTTTTTTGTTTGTTTGAAGGCAGGTACACAGATAACTGCGGGAGACTAGTAGTAGATTCCCACACTGGATGACCTTTGCTTGTCTTTTACTTCTATTTTTTTGTTTGTATTTTGTTTTTAAATTATTACACAGTAAAGGTGACCTTTTTTGGGTATATAGTTCCATGAGTGCTAACATATCCATAGATTGGTGTAACCGTTACCACAATCAGGATATAGAACAGCTCCATCACCCCCAAAAAACTCCCTTAGGCTACCCACTTTGTACTCACACCCTCTTCAAACCCAACCCTTGGCAGCCACTGATCTGTTCTCCATCACTGTAGTTTTGTCTTTTTGAGGTTGTTGTAAATGAGATCATACAGTATGATTTCTAGACTGGCGTCTTTCATCATGATGCCTTCATGATTCATCCAAGTCATTGTGTGTATCAAGAATCCATTCTTTTTTATTGCTGGGTTGTATTTCATTGTTTATCCATTCACCTGTTGAAAGAACAGTTGAGTTGTTTCCAATTTGGGGCAATTATGAATAGAGCTGCTATAAACATCCATGTTACAGGTTTTTGTGTGGACATAGGTTTTATTTCTCTTCGGTAAATGTATAGGAGTGGGATTGCTAGGTCATATAGTAAATGTATATTTAAATTTGTGAGAAATGGCTGAACTGTTTTCCAGAGTGACTTTATCATTTTACATTCCAGCATCAGCAATGCATGAGAGCTTCAGTTAGTTATACCATATTCTCAACAACGCTTGTTATTGTCAGTATTTTTTATTTTAGCTATTCTAACATGTGTGTGGAAACCCTGTGGTGGTTAAGAGCTATGGCTGCTAACCAAAAGGTCAGCAGTTCAAATCCACCAGGCTCTCCTTGGAAACTCTACGGGGCAGTTCTACTCTGTCCTATAGGGTTGCTATGAGTCGGAATTGACTCTACGGCAACGAATTTGGTTTGATTTTGGCTTAATATGTGTGTAGTGATATCTCACTGTGGTTTTAATGTGTATTTCACTAATGGCTAAGATGTTTAACATCTTTACATGTGTATTTACTATCTATCTATCTTCTTTGGTCCAAATGTCTGTTCAAATCTTTTGCTTATTTTTTAATTGGCTTATTTATTCTTACTATCAAGCTTTAAGAGATCTTTATATATTCTCAACACAAGTCCTTTGTATTTTCAAATATTTTCTTCCACTCTGTTTTTCATTCTCTTAACAATGTCTTTCAAAAAGCAAAAGCTTTAATTTTTATAAAGGCCAAATTATTTATTTTTTTCTTTTATTGATTATGCTTTTTATGTCATACCTCAGAACTCTTTGCCAAACCCCTGGTCAAAAAGATGTTCTCCTATGTTTGCTTTGAAAGTTTTATGGTTTTAGGTTTTACGCTTAGGTCTATGATCTATATAATCATATAATTTTCTTCTTTAGACTGTAATATAGTAGATTGCATTGATTTGAGTTTCAAATATTGAACTAGCCTTGCATTCCTGGGATAAGCCCCAGGTCACAGTATATTATTCTTTGTTTATATTGCTGAATTTGATTTGCTAATATTTTGCTGAGGATGTTTGTGTCTATGTTCATAAGGAATACTGGTCTCTGGTTTTCTTGGACTATTTGTCTGATTTTGGTATCAGGGTAAAATTTGTCTCATGGAATGAGTTGGGAAATATTCCCTCCTTTTTTGTTTTCTGGAAGAGATCATGTATAATTGGTGTTATGTCTTTTTAAAAATATTTAATAAAATTTACTGGTGAACCAGTCTGGGCTTGGATATTTCTTTTCCAGAGGGGAAGGCATTTAACTACAAATTCAGTTTTTTAAAATAGTTATAGAAATGTTCAAGTTATGTGTTTCACCTCGGGTTAATTCTGGTAGTTTGTGGATTTTGAGGAATTGGTACATTTCACCTAAATTGTCAAATTTATGTGGATGTACTTGTTCATAGTATTCTCTTAATACCGTTTTAAATATCTCCTGCATCAGTAGTGATACCCCCTCTTCCATTCCTGAAATTGGTAACTTGTGTCTTCTTTTTTTTTTTTTTCCTTTGTCAGTGTTGCCAGAGGTTTACCAATTTTATTAGTTTTTTTCACAGTACCAGTTTTTTGTTTCGTTGACTTCTTTCTTATTTTTTAATTTTCACCCATTGATTTCTATTACTTTTATTCCATTCCTTCTGCTAGCTTGTTTTGTGATTAGCCCTTATTTTTCTAATTTCTTAAACTAGAAGCTTAGATTATCAATTTGAGACCTTTCTTCTCTTCTAAGTATTTATTGCTATAAATTTCCTTCTAGGCACTGCTTTAGCTGCATCCTACAAGTTGATATTTTGTATTTTATTTTTTTTCTATTGAAAATATTCTAACATCCCTTGAAACTTCTTCTTGGATCCCTTGAATGTTTAGCAGTGTGTTTCCAAGTGTTTGGGGGATTTTTCTGTTATCTTTCTACTACTGATTTGTAGTTTAATTCTATTATGATCAGATAATATAATTTGTATTTTGATCCTTTAAAATTTGTGAAGGTTTGTTTTATGACCCAGGATATGGTCTATCTTGGTGACTGTTTCATGTGCACTTGAAAGAAATGTGTATTCTGTTGTTATGAGTGGAGTACTTTATAAATGAATCAGTTAGATCTAGTTGGTTAATAGTGTTGTTCTTTTCTTCCACTCCTTCTCAACTAGAACCAGAACCTGTCTTGATAGGCAAATTAACAAATTAGGCCCATGGTTTAAAAAATTAAGTCTGTGATTTTTATACAGCTGAACTTATCAGCTTCTGACAGCTCTAACATACCTATAATTCTGAACATTCTTAGAAATGTGTGCGTCACTGCCATATACACAGTCCTTTGGCTCTATTAAACTTTCCTTTCCTGTCCTTGCTCTTCCATTTTCATCCTTCCCATTGACTGTTCATTTCCCTATTGTCTTCTTTCAGCTGAGACAAGATTGGAATTTTCCAAAATGAACTTTTCAAGGCAGTTGGGATGATAAATATAACTGTGTCGATCTGGGGAATGATAACAAGTCCAGCTCTGTACAGCACTGCCCAGTCTGTAAAGACCTTGCATATCCTTCTAGTATGTAATCCTCAAGGCACACCTTTGAGACAACCCGGCCAGGTTTATTGACCCCATTTCACCGTTGAGGTAACAGGACTTTTAGATGCCTGAAGTGACCTCAGAGTTGCTCAGTCTTGAAGAAACAAAGCCAGGACCAAGTAGTTTGCACCAAATCCAATGTACTTGCCACAGTTTCACACTATGATTAGACAACTAATGATTTAATGATTTTGTGATTGGCTTACCCAACTTACAGAGTACTTGTCCTAATGCATTTTTTTCATGCTTTGATGTAGTCTGAGATGAGCAAGCTTACTACAAGGAGATCTTTGGATCCTAGCCTTAGCAAGTATGGGTAGTTCCCACAATCTGGTAGGGTTCTCAGATCTTCCAAGGATCTAATTTACTCTCATTTCTATGAGCTTTTATTACATACCTACTATATTTCGGGCACAGCCCCAAGTCCAGAAGGACAACTAAGACCATTCCCAGATTCCTGGCTCCTATGGGCCCCAGGTAGCTTGGCCACAAGCCTTCTAGATGCAGAGAAGGCTTTAGGAGAAGTGTCTGGGTGCCTGAGCTCATAGAGATCTCCTTTCCCGACAGTCCTCCGAGCCGCACATGAGCAGGAGAAAGAAGCCCTTATCCAATCCTCCCAGGAAGCAAAGGCAGCCCTGCAGGTGAGAGGGGATGGATCGTGTCAGTCTCTGGTGAGGGGAAGGGAGGACCTGCGGGAAACCAGCATGGAGCCTCAAAGCAGCCAAAGCACTCTACATTAAGTGTGAGTGTTGAAAGTACTGTCTTCCGTGTGTAGCAGCCAGGCTATTAGCTCAAGAGGACCTTGTCTGAGATTGGGCTTGGCCCATTTTCCCAAGGACTGTTGGAGACTACATAGGCTGGGTGTCACAGTGGTGATTCAACTGGTAGATGGATGCACAGGGACCTACGGAAGCATGTGAGAAAGAATCTCACCCATTTTGTCTGGTCAGAGAAGACTTTCTAGAGGGAGTGATATCTAAGCTAGAACCTAAAGGATGGGCTGGAATTCTTCAGCTGAAGAAGAGGAAGGAGGATGCTCTAGGCAAAAAAAAAAAAACCAGCATGTGCAAAAGCATGGAAGAAAGGGGGGAAACATGGAATACCTGAGGATCTGAGAGAAGCCCAAGATGGGTAGAGGGTATGAGTGGGAGAAAGGTAGAGAGGACTGAGGCTAGAGAGGTAGAAGGGGCCAGCAGGTGGGAGCCCACGAGCCATATTAAGGGGTTATACTCTTCGAGACAACTGCCAAGGTTTAGATGAAGCAAATTCCTGGCAGGGGAAAAGTGTGGAGAGCTGTTTGGATGAAGGAGGTATGTGGAGGGGAGCAATGGGATAGGAGACTGGGAAAGTCCATTGAGCCTGGTTTTTGAGGCTTTGAATGCCCAACTAAAACTGGCCTTGAATCCCAGGACGTTTTCTCTAAGGCTATGGGGAATCATTGAAAACTTTATAGCAAGAGAGTGGGGCTGGTATACTTCAAGCAATGGTTGAAGTAGATTAAGCCTGTGTTGTTGTGTAGGGTAGACAAAAGATAAACAGGAAGAACCCAAAGCTGTTCACTCTCTGGGATGTATGAAGTTCACTGACAGCCTTGATGAAGCAGGTTTTGAGTGCCTCCTTCCTGCTGCCTTTGCCAGGAGACCATAGATGGTCTGACCTCACAGCTACAGGCCTTTCAAGCCAAGATGAAGAGGGCAGAAGAGTCCATTCTGAGCCGAAACTATAAGAAGCACATCCAGGTAGGTGGCAGTACACTTGGGGGCCTTTCCTCCTTGAATCTCCAGAGTACCTGGGAAGGCCAGGGTCTAGGCTACAGGAAAGGCCAGTTCCTTGAGGCAAAACATACCTGTCGCCATTGAGTCAATTTTGATCCTACTCCATAAGGCTTTCTTGGCTGTAATCTTTATAGAAGCAGAGTGCCAGGCCTTTCTTCCATGACACCACTGGGTACGTTCAAAGTACCAACCTTTAGGTTAGTAAACTCATAAAAACCAAACCCATTGCCGTCAGTTCAATTCTAACTCATAGCGACCCTATAGGACAGAGTAGAACTGCCCCATAGGGTTTCCAAGGAGTGGCTGGTAGATTCCAATTGCCCATCTTTTGGTTAGCATATGACATAGTAGTGAAGTGCTCAGGCCCTGAATTCAAAGAAAAATAGGTGCAAATCGCAAACTTACCACTTGCCACAAGTGATTTCACCTATCTGAACCTCAGTTTCCTCATGTGATGGTAATAGTACATGCCTCAAAGGGTGTTGTTAGGGTAAAAAGAAATAAAGCATATTAAGCACTCACCATGTGCCAAGAAAGGACTGGCAATCTACTTCCAAGAAAAATCAGCTATTGAAAACCCTATGGAGTAGTTCTACTCTGACACACATGGGGTCACCATGATTTGGAATTGACTCAATAGCAACTAATTTGGATATTTTTTTTATGTGCCGAGAGAGGGAGGGAGGTGACTTGTGAAAGTCAAGTAGTGAGTTGGTGACAGAATGGGCAGGAAGCAGACTATGCCTCTCTCTACTTGCTGGTCTGACAAGGTCATGCTATGTCCCTATCTAGGATTATGGGAGTCCCAGCCCATTCTGGGTGCAGGAGCTGGAGAGCTTGCACTTTGTCATCGAGATGAAGAATGAACGTATTCACGAACTGGACAAGCGGCTGATCCACATGGAAACAGTGGTTCGTGGCTGGGAGCAGCTGGGTGGATGCAGCCCCAGACTCCTGTTCCTTGGGCATTGCCTCTTCTAAAGCATCGAAACGGGAGGTGCTTTGAGGAGGCCCCAGCCTGGTCCACACCAGCTTTGATCTGTTGCCCATTTGGCATTTGGCCAGTGGTTATATGCCCACTGTGGCCATTCTGGGTTAAGCAGGGGCTCCTTGTCATCTGGGTCCTGTGCTTTTCTTGGCTACTCGTGATGCTGGAACTTGCGTAACAATGATGCAAGGGGTCTGGTTAACAGGGAAGGGCTGGTAGATATCACAGTTCAGGCAGGGGCTGAGGAAGGAGGCAAGGCTGAAAGGTTGGACAAATACGGGAGCCAGAGTCACCAAGGTCTGGGCTGGTGAGCTGTGGGCGGTGACGCCACTGATGGCTTTGTCTCCAGCAGAACAGAGGCCTCAGAAAACTAGAGTTGAATCCAAACAGAGATTATGTTGCTAATCTCTCAGAAATCTCCCTGACCTCCTTCAAAATAAACTCTGTGGGTCACACAACCAGTATTTTCATCTGACCATCTCAAACATTCTCTATAAAATTTTGTTCAGCCATTTTTGTGCAACAGGGTAGGAAATAAGCTTAATTTTATTATATAGATTATATTCTCTGACTTTTGGGGAACAAAAAATATCCATTCTTTTATGAACTGATGGTGATATTAGACAGTGGTGGCTATTCTTTAATGTTCTCACATGGCAAAATTAAAATTTGGCAGCCCTATGTTAACTCCTTCATTTTATTTTCTTAAGTAATCTTATTGCTCCCTGAACTGTAACATCTGGTCTAGAATGTGTTTTCAGTTACCACAGATAACAGGGAGGTAGGGCCCACATTGTGCTGTGTTGAGTGTAGCAGCTTGCTGAGCTACTCCTCATTTGTTACAGAAAGAAAAAAACCTGATGTTAGAGGAGAAAATCACCACCCTGCAACAGGAGAACGAGGACCTCCACATCCGAGGCCGGAACCAGGTGGTTATGTCCAGGTAGCCACCCCCTAGCCTCCTTTCCTCTCGTCCCCACCCTTCTGATATTATCTCCAGTTGGGAGAGGCTTCAAGGAGCCTGGGGGAATGGATGGACAGGTGGACCAGGGCCTGCCTGGGAACATGGCTCCCCTTCCTTTGGGAGTCAGGAATGCCAGGGGACCGGCTCCACCCAGAAGCCTAGGTCCCAAGGTCCTGGCCACTATTTGTTTGCTCCCATCCCCTGGGTCTTGTTCGGGCACCACCCAGGCTTAGTGGTCTCCTGAGAAAGCCCAGTATGGGGAAGAGGAAGCAGAAAACCAGGAAGCTTACAGCTCACAAGGCCCAAGTAGAATGAATCAGTTCTGAAAGCTTAATAAATGAGAGCTATTATCATGTGTTAGACATAATGTATTGAATACATATTATCTAATCCTTACCCTAAGAGATGGGTACTATAATTATTATTATTATTCCTCCCATTTTCCAAAAAAAAAAGCCAGTTGCCATTGAGTCAATTCCCACTCATGGCGACCCCATGTGTGTCATAGTAGAATTGTGCTCCATAGGGTTTCAATGACTGTGACCTTTCAGAAGTAGACCGCCAGGCCTTTTTTTTTTTTTTTTTTTTTTTTGAGGCTCCCTTGGGTGGATTTGAACTGCCAACCTTTCAGTTAGTAGCTGAGCACTTAACCATTTACTGAAATTTGTAAAGACTGAATAACTAGTCCAAGGTTATACAGCTAAGTAGTGGAACAGAGACTTGAACCCAGAGCTGTCTGCCTGAGAGGCCCATGCTCCTTGGTCGACAGATTAATTCGCCTCTTGCATACAGGCAAAGGAGAGGGCCATGGGGACCCTGGAGTAGGCTAGTGCCCACCCAGGGAGGGCTTCCTGGAGGAAGGGGTTTGTCACCTGGCTGGAGGCCCCCTGGTGCTGCTCCCAGTAGGCAGCCCCGGGCTCTGTGTGCATTCCACAGGCAGCTGTCTGAGGACCTGCTGCTCACCCGTGAGGCCCTGGAGAAGGAGTCGCAGTTACGGCGACAGCTCCAGCAGGAGAAGGAGGAGCTGCTGTACCGGGTCCTTGGGGCCGACGCCTCCCCCACATTCCCGCTGGCCTCTGTCACCCCCCCCAAGGTCTCTTTCCTCGCCACATAGGGCTCAGAGTCTGCTGTGACACCTGTGGTCACACCTCCTGCTCGAGGACTTTCCTGAGAAGACAGTGGGAGCCTCTCCTTGTTCCTTTCCCACGGAGGAATGCCAGTGGGAGTGAGCAGGGAGCCAGGGTGTGTGCCCAGTGAGCCCTGGGGGGGCTTGGGCCGAGCAGAACCACCCACGGGGCCTTGAGGCCCCAGAAGCGCCTTCTCCTGAGTTTGCCCAGAACGTTTTATGTTATACGGGGACTTGCAAATGTCCTAGGAGGAGACAAAGTATCCAGACCTTCCTTGACCAAGTTTCTACCCCCACCCTCAGAGAGCACTTCAGGCTGCAGAATGCACTTTAGAAGCATTTTTTAACTGTGTGGGGCAGGGCTTGAGCAGGGGCAAGTTGTAACAGGGGGAGGGGGTCTTCCCTCATATAGTCCATGATGGATGTGAGGAGATGAACTAATCATACCCCAACCCCTGGGTGGACAAGCTGTGGAACTACAAAGAACACGCAATATCTTATTTATTTAGCCTCTGTGTTTTTCTGGGAGATGGAGGAGGTGGGTCTTTCCTCAGCCCCTCTGCCACCCGCAGGGGTCTTTGAAGGATAAGTTCTGGAGCCTGGTGACTCAGCAGTGGGCTCGAGCTCCCTCTGCAGGGACTGGAGCCCAACTGGCTCTAGCCTTGCCCCAGCCTCAGAGGTAGGGCCTGGGGTTAGGGTGAAGACAGGCCCTCAAAATAAGTCAGGCCTCTGAGTGAGGTTGTGAGGGTGAAGTGAGAGAAGAAAACAGTGTTAGGGATGTGGGGGAGGTGTGAGGGGTAAATGAGAAGATGCTTTGTTCTGCGAGGGCCCCCTCCTTGGCCTTGGCATAAAAGACACTGAGAGTCACACAGGTACCTACCCCTGTTTCTGCCCATTGCCCCACACCCAGATGCCTACAGCCAAGGAGGGAGCTTGGAAGGGGCGGGGGAGACATGTAGACTTTGGATCACGTGGACATGGATGGTGGCGGTCCCCATGCCCTGGAGGTTGGTGGCCTGGCAGGTGTAGACACCAGTATCCCCCACCCGGGTCTCCTCCACGTGAAGGGTGCTGTCTGCCTCCTGCTGTACCTGGCCTTCCCAGCATACCACACTGGCCTGCTCACTGATGTAGGGGGGTTGCCCCAGCTGCAGTGGACAAAAAACATACCTATTAGCTGCCCTGGGTGCTGCCTCTGAGTCAGGCACCAGGGGGCAGGTAAGAGGGCACCAATTATGCCTTCAGCAGATGGAAAAGGGAAGTGACTTATGCAAGGCTACACTTCAGCTTAGTGTCAGAGCACCTCAAAGGCCAAATTCTCTATGGAAAACTTTAAGGTTCTCAAGTCAGAAGAGAGACACTAGAGTTCCCTCCACAACTCAAGAAGTGCGCAGGAGGCAACTCACCAGCATTCTTAATGTGCATGCTGTGGCACCCCGGTTCCGTGTGGATGTTAGTGCATGTTACCTACTTTCCCAAAGTGAGGAAAGTTCGCAATTCCATTATCAAAAGTGTTTGGGAAACTGAGTCAGGCAAAGTTAAATTGGTGAAGCTTAGACCATTGAGTCTGTCATGTCCACAAATGCATTTGACTCTCCAAGGTGGGTGGTGGTTATAAGAGGCAGGGTTTTCCTGAGAACACTTTCTTTGGGGTCAGGGGAGGATTTATTTGGCACTTTACTATGCCAGGTGACATGTCTTGGGGAATTGCTGGCATAGCAAAGTCAACGTCTCCCAACCATCTGTGTGATCCTTTCTCTTGCTGGGTCTCAGTTTCCTCATCGGATGAGTAGGAGAATGACCACATACCATTTCTACCTGCTGAGGGGGTTCACCTTCATTGCTCCTTTGCTCGGTCCCAGCCTCAGTTAGCCCCTACAGGGAATACAGAGATGAGCCCAAGGAGTTCACTGTGTACTGGTCCAGCCCACTCAAATGACTGGTGCAAAGTGGAGCCAGAAGGTTGTAAATTCAGGGAGCAGCAGAGCATGTTGGCTAGGTTCCACAGGCCTCCCTCCTGGGCTGCAGGAAATGGTGATATCATCAACAGGTCATGGCACCTACAGAGCATCTCATTTTCCCCATCCTAGACTTGTCTTAAGTGACCTCTGGCTGGGCAGTAGCACCTCATGAGTCTTTCTACCCCAACTTCTTTCCCCTTCAATCTACACAAAGTCAGCTCCCCTGCTCAGACTTCTCCAATGGCTCCCTGGAGTCTGGAGAATGATTCTTGGGTGCTTTTATGCCCAGTGCTCCCCTGCATTCTGGGCAGGTGGCAATATGAGGAAGGTAAGTTTTTGTGGCTCCGGTGTGTGACGTGTCTACCCTTGCTCTCGCTCCTGTGATTTGCCTGGAATGCCTTCCACTCACCTCACTCCTACCCTACACACTCAATTCAAATTCCAGCTTTTCCAGGAAGCCCTCTTCAGAATTCCTAAAGCCCTCAATGTTGGTACCATACTATTTGTCACAGCTGTTTTACAGATGCTTGAGGTTTATGGGGGTAAGTTCTTTGAGAGGAAAGAACATAACAAACACCATCTCTCCAACATCTAGGGAAGGGCTGGGCACAGAGGATGCCCAGGAAACGGTTGCTAATGTATTATGTATTTGGTTCTATCCATCCATATCCATCCATTCATCGTATTCTTTCTCTCTTCCTCTCTCTCTCTCACACACACGCACCCTCATACACATGCACACATGCACACACACGTAGCCATAGAGCCTGAGCACTTGCTCAAGCCCCATTTTTTGTGTGCTTGAGGCCAGCTTGGTCTTGGTTTGAATGTCATCTCAGAGATGAGTCCTCGACCACTCTATCTTAAGCAGACTCTGTCACGTTGCCCTGTTTTATTCTCTCTGTAGCACTTGACATTCTCTAAATCATCATGTATGTCCCCTTCCCACTTTCTCCTTCCCACTTAGTCTGTAAATTTGCAGATACCTAAGGCCATATCTTTGACTCATCACTGTCGCCTCAGCACCTAGTACAGTGCCTGGCACATGGTGGGTGCTCAGTTACTTTTGGATAAATTAATAAAGGAATAAATTAGACATTCTTATACAGTAACCTGAAAAGTAGCTGTATTTGACAAACGGGAAAACTGAGGCTCAGAAAAGGGAAGTAACTTGCCCAAGGTCACTCAGAGAGGCAATGTCAGAATTGGGACTATAATTCAGGCCCGTCAGATTCCCAGTCAAGCAGTGGTTCCACTTTGCATGACCATTCCTGGCCCCCATTCTAATACCTCATTCCTCCCCCAACCCCCATACACATACAGCCTCCTCTTACCCTCTGCTTACCTTCTGCCCTGGATATTCCCAACTAAAGTCCAGAGCAATCTCTGGCTCACCCAGAACTGTGCACGTCACACTGAAGTTCTCCCCTAGTTGGACAGATGTTGCTGAAGCTTGAATGGTGGGTTTGGGGAAGGAAGATGGGTCTGTCACAGATAATAGGGGAAAGAAAAATGTTGGCAAACGTTGGAATGGTTGAATTGATAGCAGATGGAGGGAGGAGGTCGAATGAATGGGTGGAATTGTTAAACTGATAGAGGATATGTGGATGTATAAATGGCTGTACTAAATTAATGGAGGATGGGTGGGGATATGGATGAATGATAGAATGCTTAACCTAATGGAGGATGGTTGGATGGAATGGCTGATTTGAGAGAGGATAGATGGATGAAATAGTGTGACTTGACTGAGCAAGGGTGGTAGATAGAAAAGGTGAGCTGATTGGCTGACTGAGCTGAATGGCCGGCTGTAAGGACAGAATGAGTGAATACATAGAGTGTTGTTGAAAGCTAGTTCATTGTTTTCAAAAAACCAAACCAGTTGCTGCTGAGTC